TCCGGTGCTATCCACGGCCGGTAAACTTGAAGCTACCAACGGACATCCCAAAATACAGGGGTGATACCTGTCCGGTTAGCTTCTTGGCTGGTTATACCGCGGCCATGGACTTACGAGACTCACCCCGGGAGTTCTCTGCTAAAGCGATGCCCACCTTCCTGACAGGAGCCGCTAAGATTTGGTTCGACAGCCTTCCCGGGAAGCGTCACTTCCTACGCGGACCTGGGGCGAAAGCTCCACGTCCGATTCTTTTCCAGCAAGAGGGCCAAGCGCACCATCCACGACTTGTCATCGGTTCGTTAGCGTCAGAACGAGTCTTTGGGAAAATATTACGAGCGGTTCACGAAAGAGCTCATGATGATAGATCAAGTTGATGATTTGGTGGTAAGGGTCGAGTTCGTGAATGGCCTCTCCCCTTTTGGTGCAGGTGCCACCCTAAGGGGTAAGCTCACAACCAAACCCCCGGGCACCACCCAGAAGTTATGGGAGACAGTCGAAAAGGAGATTCGGACGGACGAGTCCATGAAGAGAGCCAGGGAAGCCTTTGCAGAAGGCAAGAAGAAAGCTGGGAAGCCGGAGGCGAAGAAACTCAACATTGGATCTTCGAAGTTCGAGTCCAAAGTACTCGTCCTTACCAAAACCAGAAAGGAGATTCTCCAAATTCACAAGAGTGAGTTCAAGCTTCCACCCCCGGGCAGATCTCAGAATGAATCCTCATCCGCGTGGAGCGATTTTCATCGAAGCAAGGGGCATGATACCGAGGATTGCTACAGGCTGAAAAAGGAACTTATCCCAAGGATCGGGACATTCTCGTCGACTTTGCGGTGGTGGACATCGTGGCCCCTTTCAATATCATTCTGGGGCGGCCATAGATGAGTCAGGCGAAGGCCATTTACTCGCCATATCATTTGGTCATGAAGTTTCCAACCGAGGCTGGGGTTGCGGAAGTTAGGGGTGATCGACAATTGGCTCGACAGTGCATGATGATCGCCGCTAAGAAGGGGCGTGACTTCCTTCGGGGAGGGGCAGCCGTCAGGTCCGTGGAGGAGGCCCCGATATCTGAAGACGAGGACCAAGGAAACAACGGCTCTGGCCCCGTGGATGACGAGGTTACGGACGTGGCTCTGAATCCTTTTGTGGAAGGAAAGGTCGTCAGCTTGGGAGCAGTCTTGCCCCCCAGTCTTCGGGATATGGTGGTAGAATTGTTGAAGCAGTTTGAAGACATCTTCGCTTGGAGTCCCAGCGATATGACAGGGATTCCTCCCGAATTGGGCGTGCATAGCTGAATGTAGATCCCAGCGCGCGGCCCATGCAGCAGAGGAGGCGGAAGATGGCTCCCGAGCGCAATGCCGCTATCGATGTGGAAGTCACTAAGCTGTTGGCCGCTTCCATCATCAAGGAGATCTTCTATCCCACATGGTTGGCCAACCCGGTCATGGTCAAGAAGCCCGACTCCTCTTGGCGTATGTGTGCTGATTATAAGGATCTCAATAAACACTGTCCTGAGGATTGCTATCCTCTTCACGCAATTGAGCAGAAGGTCAATGCTATCTCGGGGTATCCGGTGCTTAGCTTTCTGGATGCGTAGAAAGGATACCACCAGATCCTAATGCACGAGGATGATGCAGAAAAGACGGCCTTCGTCACTGAAAAGGGTGTGTTTTGCTATGTGAAGATGCCCTTCGGGCTAAAGAACGCGGGCGCCAGTTGGGAAGAAATATAGAGATCTACGTGGATGACATGGTGGTGAAAAGTCGTCGGATTGATCTTGTGATCGACGACCTCCAGGAGACTTTCTGGACCCTCAGAGCTCCTAATGTGAAGTTGAACCCGAAAAAATGTGTGTTCTGCGTCAGATCTGGAAAATTTTTGGGTTACCAGATTTCCCGAAGAGGAATCGATGTGGATCCTTCGAAGGTTCAAGCCATCCTAGATATGCAACCTCCTCGATCCATTAAAGAAGTGCAAAAGCTTATAGGCTCTATTGCCGCCCTAGGGCGCTTTCTGTCAAAGGTGACCGAACGAAGCTTGCCATTTTTTCATGTTCTCAAGAAGCCCGATACCTTCGGCTGGACCGAGACTTGTCAGAAAACTTTTATGGAACTAAAGGACAACTTGAGGACTCTCCCGACCCTGAGCACGCCGGATCCGAGGGAAACTCTGATTCTGTACTTAGCAGTGGGAGAGTCCACGGTAAGTGCGGCCTTGGTTCGAGAATATAAGGGAAAATAGATCCCTGTTCATTACGTCAGCAAGGTCCTTCTACCGCCGACTCTCAATACACCCCTACTGAGAAATTGATTTTTTGCCTTGTCACCGCGGCCCGGAAGTTACGCCCCTATTTCCAGGTGCACCCGATCCTTGTTCTCACGGATCAGCCCCTGCAGCAAATACTCCAGAGGTACGACATATCGGGCAGGATGACTAAGTGGGCGGTGGAACTCGGGGAGCATGACATAGAGTTCCGACCCCGGACCTCAATCAAGGGTCAAGCCTTGGCCGATTTCCTTGTCAAAGACCCTCGGAGGGTGGAAGCCGAGGCTAATGAATGCGGTCAAACCTCTGGGGACCTCCCCTCGCCGGATCACAAACATGGGCTTTGTTCATCGATGGATCTTCCTCTAAAGAGGGTTCGGGCGCGGGTGTGGTTTTGATCGACCCCTACGGGTCGGAGATTGTCTATGCTATCCAGCTGGATTTTCCTACCACAAATACTGAGGCTGAATATGAAGCGCTGATCGCGGGGCTATCTATCACCAGCTGGATGTTCAGGAAATCTCCGTTTGCAGTGATTCTCTGGTAGTTGTCAACCAAGTTCTTAAGCTGTATGAGGTTCGGGAGGTGGTTCTCCAAAAGTATCTTCAGAAGGTCAGGGTGTTGGAATGCGGCTTTCGTGTTTTCCAAATCCAGTATATCCCGGGGTCACAGAACAAGAGGGCTGATGCCTTGAGCAAGTTGACTTCTTCCCGTGCCGTGCATCTTACCCAACAAATTCACATGGAAGTTAGGACACGTCCGAGTATCCTAGATGAAGAGGTCTTGCTTGTGACGTTGGACGAGGCGTCTTGGATGACACCCTTTGTCCAGTACCTCCAAAATGGGGTGTTACCCGCGGATCCAAGGGAAGCTCGGAAGATCCGACTCAAGGCGCCGAGATACCTGATGAGAGATGGCATTCTCTACAAGCAAGGAAGCAGAGACATTGATCAGGAGCATGCACGAAGGCACTTGTGGGGCTCATTTAGGTTCACGTAACCTGGCCAAAAAGCTGATCCGCATTGGATATTACCGGCCTACTTTGTCCCAAGATTGCTACAACATTGTTCTTCGGTGCGCGCAATGCCAAAAGCACGCCCCTATCCCGCGACTTCCCCAGCATGAGATGGTCCCGATTGGCAGCCCGTGGCCTTTCTACAAGTGGGGAACGGGCATAATAGGGCCTTTCACATTGGCCCCGAGTAAGCTCAAATTCGTGATCGTCGCAATCGACTACTTCTCTAAATGGGTCAAAGCAGAGCCTCTGACCTCCACCACAGGGGAAAACGTGGCCAAATTCTTCTGGAAGAACATTGTCTGCCGGTTCGGGATTTCGAGGGTCCTTATATCAGATAACGGAACACAGTTTGAATCGGGCGTTTCTAAATCTTGGAGTGAGCAACTCGGGATCGAACAGCGGTTCTCCTCCGTGGCTCATCCTCAGGCCAATGGGCTGGCTGAAAATATAAATAAGGCCATATTGCAGGGCATAAAGACACGGCTTAAGAGAGCTGAGGGACTGTGGCCTGAGGAATTGGCCCACGTCCTCTGGGCCCTTCGTACTACCATGAGAACGGCCATGGGGGCAACCCCTTTTAGCCTCATCTATGGCATGGAAGCCGTTCTCCTGGCCGAAATAGAGGTACCCAGTCCCCGGGTGGTCAACTATGAACGAAGATGAAATCCACCTTTACCTTGATTTTTTGGATGAAAAACGAGATATAACCAAAGCCCGCGACGCTAAATACAAGCAACTTGTGGCCAAGTACTATAATGCCAAGGTCCGGGCTCAGGACTTCGAAGTCGGGGACCTGGTCCTCCGACGAAACGAGGCAAGCCACGCAGAACCGACGGGAAAACTAGCTCTGAACTGGGAAGGACCATACAAGGTTGTGGAAGTTTCCCCCTCAGGGAGTTATCGCCTACGCATATGTGACGACGAGCCTCACGACATTCCTCGATGGTAGAACATCCAGAATCTTAGGAAGTTCAATGTCTGAAGGCTGCTGCCTACTTTTGTAATAGACGTAGCCAAAGGGGGGAACTTCAGCACTTTTGTTGTTAATATACGAATTCTCCCCGTACCATCATAAACATTCCATCCTTCCCAGAGCCGTCTCGACCCCAGTGGCCGACGGCACCGTGTGGCCTCCAAGGCCTGCGGAACTCCCATGGTCTTCGTGACCTTGGAGCATTTACAAAGCCGTCTCGACCCTAGTGGTCGACGACACCGCGTGGCCTCCGCGGCCTGCAGAACTCCCATGGTCTCCGTGACCTTGGGGCATTTACAAAGCCGTCTCGGCCCCGGTGGTCGACGGCACCTCGAAGACTCCGTGGCCTATGGAATTCCTATGGTTCCCGCGGCCCCGGAGTATATCTCACCTCGGGCCGACCCTTGACAAGGTACGATTCCAACCAACCATCGACTTAATCATCGCAACATTAGTAATACAGTTAAAATGTAAAATCCGGGGGAAGATACTCATATCACCACTGTCGGATCGTAGCAAAGAGCGTCGTCGATACACAGAATTTTACATATACAACCGTAAAAGATCGAGTAATAATAAAACAAATAAATGAGGAAAAACAAATAAATGAGGAAAAGCAATAAAGTGGGGTCGATGTTCAAAAATAGGAATCGATTATTTATGCGTGAATTTTCGAAGGTATGGCCTTCGGATATGTACACTTGGCAAAAACACACCAAAAATTACTTAACAACAACCTAAATAAATAGGTCCCTAGTGAGACCCTCGACCTAACTCGTAAAACAGAGCGTCGTTCTCATATATTAGTCGTTCGGCTTCACGAGTTGGGGAAGTGGGGTCGTCTCGCATGGCCGGGCAGGGCTTGAGCCATAGTGCCTCAAAATCGTACTCCTTTCCCGTCTCTACAATAAAAGAGATCGCGCTTTCCAAAGCCGCCCGAAGTTGACCAGCGTACGCCCAAAGAGCCTCAATCTTGTCGGAGGATCGATCCCACCTGACGGCGACCAAGGCATAAGCCTTTCGGAGATGTACCAAGACGCTTTTGAAATAGTTAGGGGGAATAAAATCCTCGAGGTCGGGTTCGGGCAAGCCTTCGTCCTTCTTTTTCTTTCGGATTTTAGCCTCGAATGTCCGGAGGCGATTGTTGGCCAATATCTCTAACTGTATAGAGTTCTTCAGATGGTCTTCCCAGTAGGCCTCCAAGTCCCTCCATAACTTATCCAACCGATCATTTTCGGCCTTCGCCTCTATGACGGCCCTGCGAGCCTCGCGGAACTCCGATGCCCTGTGAGCTTCCAAGGCCTCTTCAAGCTGGCCTTCGAGACCTGACAGTCGTCCTCGGCTCCTGTCGACAGTCGGATCTACCAAAGCCCCTCCGACAGCCGCATAAAGGAGAAAGGTTGTCAGATCGGAATGAGGGTCGAGCAACTACAGGTCGATCCAGGGAATCCCGGACGTTTCCCACTGACCCGGAGTCGCAGGCACGCCTCGAGAGGTTCCCTCAGGCTGATGGGGCAAGTCCTAAGGCGCGTCCTTCCCCTGAAAGGAAGCGCGTGTTAACTGGGGGGTTAGGGAGCGCGAGCTAGGAAGAATTCTTAAAGGTAAAATTGGACCGACGAACAAAAAACATAAAATTATTAACAAATAAACAGAGTTGATCATGAAAACGGAAGAATAAAACTGAAATTTATTGATTGTTCCAATAAAAATGTTACACAGGGGAATAGGTGATCACTATCATAAGGCTTAACCCTACGCATCATTCACCTTGTCTCCACTGTTGGTATTGGAGCCGGTCAAAGTGCCACCTCCCCCGCGGCTTCCAGAGTTGTGCCCTTTGGGGGGCGCCGCATGTCCGACCGTCTCCGGCTCCTCATCAGGCCCCGGCGGTGTCCTCGGAGGCGTTTGAGTTCTCCTCGGCATCTGAAAGACGAAGGAAGGACTGCCCCGAATATCTATGATGTTTTCGGGCTTAGAGATGGAGGGGCAAGCCTCAACAATCTGCTGCATTATAGGGAGCAGTGCGAAATTCATATCGCGAAAGTGCTTCCGCGCCTTGCACCGCAGCCTTACCGCGAACGTCTTTCCCTTTATCTCCCTATCGGCATATCTATCGAGGATGGGTTGGATGTCCTCGTTCTTCCTTCGGGCCGCCTCTATCTCCGTGACGACCTTCCTAGCTCCTCTTTCCATAGCCGGGTCCATGACGTCGTTTATCCCAAGGGCGAACTTGGACGACCCCAAGTACCTCTGTACCCCTACAAGGATGTACTTGTCCAGGCGGGATTTGGGGACGGTCGTCGCCTGGAGGCTCTCGATCTGGAGGCTGTGGGCCAGTTCCACGCCTTCGAACTGCCCTCTCATAGTTGAGATGTCCTCCTCCAGCTGCCTCTTCTCTTCCTCCAAGGCTTGGAGCCGCGCCTCGGCCTCCCTTGCTTTGCCGGCTTCACTGGCAGCCTTCCTCCTGGCCGAGGCCAGCTATCTCTCCAAATCCGTGCACACAGTCACGAAGGAGTTCACTGCTTGCACGGCCTGCATGACGTGCACGTTCTTTATAAGGGGGTCCTCCTCCGGATACGATGAATTTAAAGACTAAGGAAGAAAGATTTACCTGTCTCATGCCGTCCTCCAGCCGCGGCACCTTTGTGGCGGGCAGGTCTGCGCATTCAACCCACGGAGGGTCGAATGTGAGCTGAGCGTGACCCTCGGTACACCCTCGAACTGGCCTGCTCCTTGCCCTTGATCTTCGTACCACTCCTTTAAGAGTTCGTCGATGGAGGACAGTTCGTGGATCGCGGGCAGGCTGAAGCACAGGGGATCGACCTCCACCACCTCGGGATCCCCCCGTTTTCTTTTTTGATGGGCCGAAGCTGGCCCCGAGGGGTTCCTCTTCCTCGAACTCTCTGCACGCACCCTCGTCAGTTGACTAGGGTGCGCTTGTCCCATTACGGGTTGGGGGGTTTCTTGTTGCCTCTCCTCAGGATATGGGACCTCCTCGTCTGAATCATCAAAAGCCGAGCGTTTGCCCATCAGGTTAGCAAATATACCTATCAACAGAAAAATAACCAAAGTTGCCTATATGTGTAAGTCTTCCTCCACCCGACCAGTTTCTCTAGGACTCCTCTTCAGGCCTCGATCTCCTTCTTGTCCTTTTTGGTCCACGGATCTAAACTGACCTTTCCTCCCTCGTCCGGCGTCCACGGATAAAGGTCAGCCAAATCCGACCCCACGTAAAAGAAGCCCGTTGGGGTTTTTGGTGAAGCTGAACCACCCGGGAAAACTCTTACTGCATCGGACGAGCTTATAAAAACATCTAAACAAGAAGATGTCTGGCTCTACCCCCGTCTTGTTACATACGTGTACGAAGGCTAACACAATGGTTATGAGGTTCGGGGTGTATTGGGCTAGAGGTCGGCCGTAAGCTTCCACTATTGTTCTATACATGGGCTTAAGAGTAAAGTGTAGCCCGTACTCTAAGAACTTCTCATAAATGGTAATCTTCCCCGGAGGGGGAGTACTAGCTCTTTCATAGCTTTCTGGTAGGGTGGGGTTAATAGCCGTAAGGCTATAGTGGTTTTCTAAGTCGCTTAACCTATCTTGATTTAGTGAACACCGAACGTCCTCTACCCTAACTACTTCTTTAGCCATACCGTAATTCGAACTTACAAAGAGGGTAAGGACTTACTCGTTAATGGTCGATTTGGAGTCGCAGTGGTCAGACGCCGACCGTAGTCCCAACACCTGAATGTTATTGTTGCTCTGATTCGCAAAAAGAGAGAAGAAAGCGGAGCTCTTTCTGTTTAATATTTGAACGTAAAAGAGAGGAAAATGATTTCAGGCGTCCTGTGGGGTAGTTATATACTCCAAAGGAACTGAACAGTTCCCTCGATTTTCCATCAGGCGCCATCATTGCAGCGCGGTCTCCCATGAAATCCTACACGTCCACCAAGTTTGGGCGGGAAGAACCCAGGGCCGTTGGATCTAGGGCGATCAGAAGAAGGAAAATTCCGAAAACTGGGCTAATCTGTTGGGCCCGAAATTCCTTTGTGTCAAGCTCAATCCGGCTTCGCCACACTGGGCTTGACAGGGGCACTTGTTGAGGGTCAACTTTGATCGGCCCAACTGTTCACCCAACTTGGGCCTACTTTATAAGCCCAAGTGGCCCGTTTATTCCTTTTAAAGGCCCAGTCGGGTTACGGAGAATTTACCCTTGTCTATTTACACTTTTGCCCCTCCTGACACGGGGACCCACAGGTATTGTCCCATTGGGACCTATAAATACTCCTTGTACATTTATTACAAATTCAATTCCACACTATCGTTTCTCTCTCTAAGTGTGTTAATTGCCTGTTTCTCTCTCTAGCACTGACTTAATCTTCGGAGTGCTAACTTTCCGTCTTGTAGGTTCTTGTCTAGGTCGGACTGTTGACTCTCCGTCTCCGGGATTTATCCTCGACAATCTTATAGTGACATTTTGAAAGATTATTGTGATATTTACAATTGCTTTTATATATACAATGGCGGATTTAGGATAGGGCCATGACCCCTACTGATCCCACCATAAATCAGTACATGTATGTATATTAATTATATATATTATATTTAGATGTAATATCTCCCCATGCATTAACATAGGAATGTTCTTCCTTCTTTCGTAGATACATCTCTTATTTGTGTTTGGGTCAATTAAAAGTTGTAGTACAGATCCAAAATGGACCAAACTACGTTGGAAAGAAAAAAAAAAGAAAAAAGACTCATAAACTGCTATAAACTGAATTAAGTTTGTTAAATGAGCATAAGAATTTCAATGCATACACTTGAACAGTCTATATTGGCCTCAACGTTATCGTTCAATTTCTCGGATTAATACAACAAAGTGAATTATTAAAATTAGAAGTCAGTAATATTATAGAGCTTCACTACTAAAAGAAACTTCTCACAATTTGTAATTTGAACACTCTCCCATGCCTATGAATGATTTTTTTTCATATATTATAAACACAGATTGATGAGATAATATGATAACTTAAAAAAATTAGCTGTGTGCATATTTATAGTCAGTGTGTGGAAAGAGATCACTTTTGGTCATAATCTAGTATTTTTCTTTCGAGCACTCACAAAATAATGTGTATTTGTTAGGGAATATAAATATATATTTATGGTCCCCATTATATTTTTGTTTTAAGATCCGCTACTTCCTATTACTACCCCTACTTACACTACACTTACAAATAATGTAACAATAGAGTAAAAGAGAAAATGTCACTACAATTATTTTGTTGCTACATTTTAAAATATACTGACAGGCAATCTTTGTTGTAGTGACTGCTGAATTCTTTATTAGCCTTTTTCTTTCGTGTGACTCCCAACAAGAGTCGGACGTTAAACTAGCCGGAGCGGATTAAAAGATATCACACTTGTCTTTTTATTTCGAACGAATATAGTTGCTATCGTTTTAGGAATATAAATAATGTGTAATTTGGTCTTTTTTCTCCGGCTGTATGATTGAATGGAAGGTTGCTTTGCTTTTGGGAAAACCTTGAACTTGTCGATGCAGAGCCGAAATCTTAATAATTTCTGGGCGACATCGAACTTGAAGCCAACCCCAAAAGGGTCTTTCCTCCGTGCTTTCACCGGTCTGGCTTAGAGGTTCATGGTGTTCAGGTAATTATACTAGTTTTAGAACAATTTCAAAAACTTTATGTGAATTTTTTTTTAGATGCAAGAAATATTAATCATAAGTACTAACTGTGATATTTATGCCATCAATTAATCCATGCTTGAGAATAAACATCCATTTTGTAACTTTCACGCTGTTAAATCTCGTTTGAACTTGAAAACAAGTAAAAGACACTTGTACCACATTAAAATTGGGAACTCAACTTGATCAACATATATATCCCACGTGCTACTCTCCTTGTTACTAATTAGATTTGAGGTGGAACCACGTATGAGTTTATATGAACCTTGATAAACACGCAAGTCATTGAAGGAAGGATCATCATTTTTAATTTTTTATTTTTGATAATTTTTTCAACCGCCGCCTGAGTACGTGATGTCTCCCCTTGATTTTGTGTCATTTCTTTCATTTCTTTGGAACCTCGCCTAATATAACAATAGTAGCTATTCCTTCTAAAAAAAGAAAAAATAGTAGCTATTCAGGAGGTCACTATCACACGGTCAACTACGTACCGACACTTGACAACAACAATGGTCATTCTTCGTGGTTTTTCTTTTTTTATTTTTTAAGACAAAAATATTAAAGTCCACCTATCATGTACTACGTAGTAGTTTAGTGAAATTACAATCTTATTAAAATGTGTTGACTGTTGAGTTATTATACTACCACTAGCACAATAATACAATCTTTTTTTAAAAAAAAAAAATACTACAACTAGTAAAATAAAGAAAAATTGGCAGATCTACCCAAAACTTTACATGCTTCGTCAATTCTACCTTATTCTTTTTCGTTTAGCCAATATTACCCTAAACTATTCAACCGTTAGCCGATTTTGTCCAATTTACTATTTTCCGTCTAAATTAATGGAATTCTATTTGTTTGAATTATAAAAACACCCTAATAGTTTTAAAAATATATAAAAATGACCTCAAAAATTTACAAAAATTATAAAATAGTCTATTTTTAGTTTTTATTTAAAATTTTCTGTTTTTAGTTTCTTTTTACTATTTTTCATAACTATAAAAATATACTATATGATCTTTTAAAAAAAATATTTATTTTTAAACTTTAATGTACAAATTTTTAATTACATATTTGTATGTCATGTTTGATTTACATAAGCATATTAATTTTTTAATAATATGGTTTTACAATAATGATACTATATTTTAATCTATTTTTTTCAATCTAAAGAATAAGATTATTTAGCTAATACTAATTTTTTCACAAAAAAATTAAACAATTCGCATAGATTAAAAAAGAATCTATTGGTGTACTTTAATGTATTACAATTTAATTCAACTGACTTTAGATTGCATTTTAAAATTTAAACTAAAATATAAATTTTTTTAAAAGCCCAAGTACAGACAGAAAGTAAAAAAAAAAAAAAAACACCTATTTTGTTTCTACGTTGGCCCAACACAAAATATAGTGTCATGGCATTTACAAACATGGTACAAAATATTTTATAAAAAATATGTATATTTATTACTGCGAGGGTTTAACATTTTGTGATAATGTTTTGAGAATTAATATATCTAACTTTAGCAAGAAATCTTTTTTAAAAAAATATATAAAAAAATCTACTCCAGAACTGGACTCCACCTTTTTTTTACATTAAAAAAAAAATTAGATTTCTCCAGTGAGAATCGAACCTCTAACACAATTTTAATCATCTCGTATCTTAAATCACCTAACCATCCAATGCAACTCTCTTACCTTTAGTGGACCCTGCTTAAACATGGGTAAAATCACTCTCCCGGTTAGAAATACTTTGGTGACAATTAATCTTATATCTACTCTCATGAAACTTAACACTCTAAACACTCAACAGTACCCTATATTTTAATTTAATAATTTTTTTAATTGGATAATACAATCTATAGTCTGTTTAGTTAATTTGCAATAAATTAAAGTGTACTAATATATATTTTTTTAATCTATGCTAAATATTTTTATTTTTTGTAAAAAATTAGTTTTAGTCAAAAAAATTTTATTCTTTAAATTGAAAAAGATGGATTAAAATAATAATATCATTATTGTCTAGAGATATTATTAAAAAAATTAATATGTTTATGGAAATCAATCATGAGTTACAAAATGTATATCTATAAATTTGTACTGTACTGTTTAAAAATAAATTATTTATTTAAAAGATCATATAGTATATTTTTATGGTTATGAAAAATAGTAAAAAGAAATAAAAAAGAAAAATTTAAATAAAACCTGAAAAGAGACTATTTTGTAATTTTTGTAATTTTTTGCGGTTTTTTATAAATTTTTAAAACTATTAGGGTATTTTTGTAATTAAAAAAAATAAAATTCCGTTAATTTAGACGGAAAGTAGCAA